TGGTGGTGGTGCTGGTTGTGGTGGTCCTGGTGGTGGTGGTGGTCATGGTGGTAGTAGTAGTAGTAGTAGTAGTACTGGTAATAGCAGAACAAGAAGAGCAGTTGTAATTGGTAGTATGGCATCATCCTGTAGTGGTGTTCAAGTTAAGCTTTATGATCATTCTGTCGGAATGCAGTATCCTCTCGGATTGTCTGAATATATTGTGGAGACAACATGGAAGGATTGTCTCAGGATTTTGGATTGGCGGCTTGAAATTCAAACTTTTGGGGTCTAGTGGGATAATGTGTTTTTACAAGAGATATGAAAATGGACTCCATGCTAGTGGTGTCTCTTCTTGACGTTTGTCGTTTAGCCTAGCATGAGCCTGAGAGATGTTTATTGAGAAACTCCCACATGAGCGTGCAGGCAAGCCACCATGTGGCCGGGATCGGACTCGGACTCCTGGTGCCGTTTGGGAGTTTGCCTAGTGTATTGTATTCACACTGACCGGAAGACATAGAAACAAGGTTCTTTACCAGGAACCAGAAAGAAGACTTGCCGTATACACAATGCGGCGACTGCTAGCATTTGCACCACTTCGCACTGTGTGTGCACAAGCCACTACGGCCCAGGCCTGCCATAGAAGCCAAACTTTGGGCGCCTGCACCTTGGCACCTGCCACAAGGCCAATCTGGCTGGCAGACGTTCAGTAGGAAAGCTAGATCATCAGCTGTCTCTACCTCCGACGCAAGCAGCCATCGGAACCTAATTCCTTCAAGAGGCACCTCGCGAACGTCTGCGACGCAAGCCAAGCAGAAAGGCGATGGTTTTCGATGGAGCCTCCAGCAGATCTGGGGCTACGTGACCATGCTCTACACATGTCTGCTGCCTGCTTGGGCCGAATGTGTCTAGCAATTACTCTTCCTGTTTGAGCACCCGACCTGCGCCCACATCAACTGTTTCAAGGCGACGCCGCTCGCAGTCCAACTTCAATCTTTCTTCGCGCTTTCAACTCTTTTTCTAGGGTTGCAATTCTTAGAGCAAGGCACAAAGAACAAGCAGAAATACCCTGGAAGCCTTCTTTTGCCAAATGCACATGCTTGACGGCTTGGCACTTCCTTGCAGGACAGGCCTCCTCTTCATCGAACGCAGTGTTGAGGAGATTCTGCGCCTGGTTACGTTTCCAACACATCCTACAACTGGAACTGCCGCATCAGGGCTCACCTGTACGAGTCTTTCCCGGCCCGCTGTCGCAATGGGTGCTGCGAAAACTTGTGGCGCTATAGTGCACAGCGTCGTTCCCGGGCGCCATATGTCCCAAAATCCAAGAGGCAAGATCCGTGGCCTGCAAAACAAATGTAATCACACCGTGCTCCGCTTATTGCAGTCACGCCATGTGATAGCCCGTGACTGGGGAACCAAGAACATGAGACAGCCTCTCAAAGTCCAAGTAGCAGTTGCAAGTGACTAGCAATCTTCACATATCTCATATCTCCACTGTATGCTATGGCTTGCGCTCAAGCATAGCGGTGTTCAACAGGCACATTTGCTTTGTCCGCCTGCTCTGGCGCATGATGTGCGGCCGGCCCATTCGAGTTACCATGCCAGGCACGCCACCACACGAGACAAGCGTCGTCCTCGTCTCCTTCCTTGGACCACATATAGTCAAGTGAAAGTAGCCCACAAGTCAAAGTCTTTCTCAGGTGGAGCTTCTTGCAACCAGGGACCGACCACAACGCTCACCGATCATGCAGCAGGTGAACTTCTCTTCACGCCAGTGGTCGAAGAGCACTTGGTCCACCACATACCACCGCGGACAAACATCGCACCCGATGTGCAGCACTTTTGGCGCTGCATCAGAGATCTCCGATGGAGGAACGTCCTGAAGGCATGGCCAGGGAACTCATTCTGCACTCACAGCGTGCTTCCACAAGGCTTCCAAGAACTTGTTGCCAGGAAGCAGTGCTTTCAACTCCGTCATCTAGTGGAGCAGCGGGAGCGCTTTTCGCCGGCTTCGGGGTCCAGCAGTTGCTCACTTCAATCGGCATCTGCGCAGTGGCCTTGGATTCATAGACCTCAGCTTCTGAAATCATACCAAGGCTTGTCACAAGCGTTTTTCTCTATCTTCTCTGGCCTCTCTTTCGTCATCTGCTTCTGGAGAGCTTGGGATCACCTGTGCAGGAGCAGGAAACACAAATTGTTCTGCAAAGCAGCTGCATACTGCTGCGTGTAAACATTGTTTCTGCTTTGTTTTGCTTGTTGTTGCTATTTGTCAACAAATTGTCCCGCCTCAACAGATGGGATGCTACGGCGCAGTCGGAAGTGCGCTGCCAAATCTAGTCCACGTGACCCTACCTTGGGAGGAGCAACGCCCCCGCAGCCGGTTCAAGTGGTAGAAGGATGCTTTCAGGAGACTACTAGGCCCGGACTACTCCCAAAATTTCGGTGCCACACACTAGTCTCAGATTCTGGCAGCCAGAAGCTTCCGTTTGTGCGCATCATGGCATCGTGTACAGCGCACTATGCCATCTCGGCGGCGACCTGAGACAGCACAGACTCTCAGTGGTGCGGCACTATCTAGCAGATGTGTGGTGCTTGTGATGTTTGCCCACTTCGCTGAGCTCCGGCACATAGTCCCTGTTCTTGTCCGCTTTTGTGATTGTTGAGATTCTTGTGATTCTCGTCCTCGCAATGCTCAATGGTCACCTCAAAGCTGGGTGGTGGGCGTGAAGCGAGGCCAACGACTAAAAAAGTCACAAGTTAAGGACAGCACTGTGACATCAGCGTCACCAGAGGGTTCTGGCAAAAACTTCACACCGGTGAGACTTGCAACGAATTGGCCCAAGAACAGGTGTCTATGCATACCGACATGCGGCCTTCCAGCGGCTTCACCTGCGATGCACTGCGCTTCGTTCCACGAGCCATTGCGCCGTGGTGCGAGATAAAAAGACCTGCTTTCTTGGACACCCTCTTTGATCTGTTAATTTGCATCGGTTTAGGCGGCACTTGATCAAGCCTTGCAAGCTACCATATTGCAACAAACAGCTGCGGGATAGCCATGCAGCTAGCAACTTGACCCTGGTATAAAAGCTTCAAGCACACGAAACGTGGACACGCCTGTTTCAGCAGCACTGTGGGGTGTTCTTATGTCCGAGTTTGCATCCTTCAGGACTTCAAGCCTGGAACGAGAAAGGTATACCACTTACATAACTAGCAGCCTGTACAGGTCTTGAAGCAAAGGCGTGTGAATCCTGGATCCCAGCACCAGCCAAGTGCCTGGCCATCTGAACAGGTAGCAACCTCTCCAATGGGCAGGAAGGTGAGGTCTTCGCACTTCGGGTTGCAGAACTCTGGACAACCTGCAGGCGCCTGGGAAGGGTCATCGAGGTTGGCACATCCGCAGCTCTCTGGACACACGCGGGCCAGGGGTGCGAACATCTTGTCATAGCCCTCACACCACTTCATATTCAACACAATTTCGCGCTCCCAGCGCGAGCTGTTCAAGGCACGGCATCCCTGTGCCTTCATCGTCTCAACCATCTCGGCAATCTGCAAACCGACGCTGTTGTTAAAGAGGGACTGCCCAGTTTCGTTTTCAATAGCTACAGGATAGGTGTCCCAATCCAGCAAACATCCCCGTGCGCAGCCTTTCGCAGGAACCTGATACCATCCACTATGGCGGCTGGAGCTGGAGCAGCAGGTTTGTCCACACACGAAGCGTACAAGTTGGGCGGACTCTTGTTGGCACAAATGAGCCAAGTCTTCACATGAACTGTTTTCCGGCAAGCCCCATCCCACTGCAGCGGAATACCAATGCGGGGCATAGTAAGCTGTAAAGCCAGGAGGCAGGGCATCAGGTGAAAAGAACTGGTCAAAGTTCAGGCACCAATCATCTACCTCCTCCGCCGCTGCTCGCATGAGCACAGTTCGAGCCTCTTGGAATTGTCGAATATCTGCTTGAAGTGTTATGTATTTGGGCTTCTCGCTTGCATCCTTGTAAAGATACTCCTGGACTGCTATCTGGCTCACAGTTTCGCCCGCGCTGTCCTCAAATGGAACAGTTGGGAATCCAACTGTAAGTTGCATGTCTTCGTTCAGAGCCACAACGAAATCTTGATTTCCCCCACAATACGCATGCTTCACTGCCTCCATCGTGCTGCTCAAAGGCTCCAAAATGCTGAACCAAGGCCAAGCCAACAGCCCAGCCATGACAAGCCTTGCTGCTGGTGAGTGGAAAGGAGGAGGGGGGGAACAACTACAGCTCCAACCACAACCACTAGTGCTCCACCTGCTGCTCCTACCATTCCTGAAATAACCAACAGCCAGAAGCAGGATCAGAAGCGACTCGACCTGGCTCCTGCTGCGGCTGTAATGCACCTTCACGGCCTCCAGATCCTGAATCTTGAGCTGCAGTTTCTTGGGCATAAGAGCCTGGAAAACCATTTCATCCACTTGGAGAATGGCGCCCAAAGCCTGGATCCAGCTGAATAACAGACAACTTGCCAATGAATCAGCTTGCTGCTAACAGGAGGCTGACAACCACATGAAACTTGACTTGCCGATGTTGTCCCCTTTACCCCTGTCTTAAGAGGTATGGAGTAGTGGGAGGTCCCTCTGGGCTGCATTGTCAACAAGACATGGATGTAAGGTGTTGGAGCAAGTGCCACGAATTAGCCGCACAAGAAGGAATGCCCCAAAAAACATGTCGCATATGTCGCAAGGCTGATCACAGAAATAAACCTGGGAGAGTCAAAATATGGACGGGTCGCAGAGTGAGTCCTCCCCGGCAGAGCCGGTTACTAATGGAGTGCATAGTCCTGTACAAGCCCAGTTGCGACAGCACTCAAAATGAGATCCTCAATAGATGTAGTACCACCAAGCCATAGTACACCAGCGTACAACAGCGCTGCAGCAATGCTGGCCCGTAAAATGCGCAGCCCGCAATATGAGCAAAAGCGCACATATGACATGGTCTTGAACTTGCCATCGTAATACTCGGTCTTGCCTGAGCAGGGTATCTGCGCCACTGCCTCCAAGGAAAGCCAAATTCGAGGAAGTGATCGATGTCTTGGACCAAGGCGGCCTGAACGTAAGGCCACATCAACCCGAATTCAAAACCAAGCTTCCCACAGTTAGAGGTGCCTGCAAGAAGTGCCTGCAAAACTGCCACGTCTGGTCGGCCCATGCTTTTCAAGAATCCCTGGGCGCATGCGCACCTGGTTGTTGGACAGGATCAGGCCGCCATCATTGTTGCAAACGCGGGTGGCGAGGCTGGTCCGAGCAAGGTCCATATACCTCGAATCGTGTGCCACACTGTTCCGCCATTCCCTTGCCACGTCTACTTGAGACTCGTCGAAAGGCTCTCCGAGAAACGATGGCGAAAGCAAGATCACACTAAAGGTGATCTGCATCCCAGCGCTGGCAATAAGAAGCAACCAGGCAATGGTCACGTCAATCCAACCCACGCCTGAATGACCAGCTACAAGGACCAGGTTCCAGGTTGTCTCCAGAAAAGCTACTGGGTCCACAGCATCTTCAACAATGGGATCCTGCGGCTCAGCGGGCTCAGCAGGGTCCTCCATGTCTCCCTTCGCCCTTTGAGGCAGCTTCTCTGTGAGTCCAGTGCGGGGCACTTGAGGCCCATCATCCTTGTGCCCAGAGATGATAGCCTGATTGCTTTGGAGCCCCAGATCCGCTTCCAGTCGCTGCTCTAAGGCAGTCAATCTCGCCAGGCACCTTAGGTATCGGGCCATTGCGGTGCAAGGTATTGGGCTTCAAGCTGAGAACTGCTGCGGTCTGAGGTACGGCTCCAGCTTGGCTTTCAACTCTGCCTGAAACTCCTCTCGCATCCGCCGCTCCAGATTGGCCACATTCTTCTCCAGTTTAGATGCAGACATGGCCAGCGCAGAAAAACAGGAACAGCCAACACACAAAACGGAATGCACGTGGTTGTTTGCATGACCTCTGGGCTGCTCAAATACAGCTTAGAAAAGTCGAGCAATTATCTTCTTCTTTGCATCATCCCTCAAGACATGTCTACCAATCAGCCTGCGATCAAACGATGCAAAACTGAAAAAGAACAGGGCTCTTTCCATTCCGAATATGCTTGGGACAGGCAAACACAACAATTAAAACTGAAGCATGTATGCAAGACTCATTTGATGTGCAAAGGCCACTTTTTGACAGAACTGCTGCATCGCCTCTCCTCTGTTGCTCAGAGCAGCCAGACCTTGGAGAGCACAAGCTGCTTCAGAACGGAACACCAGAAACAAATGACTCTATATCAATGTCTGTCCAACACTCTGATAGCTATGGGTTGATGATTCTCTTTCTTGGAAGGTTGGAGCGCCACGTCAACAAATCAACAAGTCCTGCGACACTCTGGCAAGCCCAAAAGTCTATGCCTTCGCATCAGCGAAAAGGAATGCACCTGCACCGTTTCACAGAACCGCTGACTTCAAAGCTCAGGATGTCGTGAAAAGCCGCAAACGGGAGGCTTGACTTCGGCACCTGCTCCACAAAGGCCTTGTTGGAAAGGGCGAACGCGCCGCGCGCTTCCCGCACCTTCCAAGCCCAAGCACTGAAACGAGGTGGTCCCGACAATAAAAAGCCGCACCTTCTGCACGGCATCGTCAGGCGGCTGCACCGTTTGCGCTACGAGAAAGGCAGCAGCCACCGCCCCTGCACCTTGGTTCTCTTCTCGTGGATGAATTTCGGGACTTAGCCTGACTTGCTGGTTGACAGAAGGCACGCTTGGCCCTTTACAAGAGCATGTAAAGCCAACCCGCACAAATGTTCAAGTCTTGGGAGCTTTTAAATGAAGAACCTGGGCTCCGGGCGGTTCTCGCCGCGAAGGCAGTGGATGAGCACCCTCCGACCTGCCATCATCTGCAGGTAGGATGTGCCAGTTGTGAAGGCCAACATATAGCAATGTGAACTATGAAGCTACAGCATCAACCACAGGAATGCCCTAGCAGTGGGCACCTGCAGCAACCTGCTCCTGTAGGAAGGCCACTGTGGCAGGCAGGTGCTGACCTGCTTTCGATTTGCAATTAAAAAGCATGAGAGTATCTAGAGTCCAGAGGGTTGTCTGAAGGAGCTTACACAGGTTTGTCCTGGATTCCATTGGGGAGTGCGTGGCAAACTCCCAGATGGACTGGAAACGACCCAAATAGTTAGTGATTCCCGAATATTCGATGCCCAAGAAAGAAATTCTTTCTGGATGCTGTAGACTTTGGGCGGTCTTGACAGGGTGGGCACCTACAATTCTGGATGGAGGCCGGGCTCATGGAGCTGCAGCTGCGACGTCCCGGGATTAGAAGTAGTACTTAGCTAGAATGTCTTGGCAGGCTCGCAAAATGTCAGCCAAAGCATGTTGCGACCCTCACAAAAGGTTTTCATGAGCAGGGAATGTTGGCAAACTGCTTCCATGGCATCCTGCTTCTTTCTAGACCTGAAAGGCTCGTCACCCTTTGGTTTAGCCGGTTCTGTTGTCACATGTTTGCACGTCTGAGATCACGGCCCATGTCGTAGGGTTCTAGGCCAGGGACTGCAACCTGAATCGCGGCACTCAGTGTCCAGGCACGTCCAGCTTCTGTAGATGCAATACTACATTGAAAAGTGAAGCCGTTCACCTCATAGAACAACGCGACACAGAGGCACCTCCCCGTCAATGATGATTGGCTCTGCGCGATCTCGATCTCTTGCTGGCAGTGCACAGTACCTGTGGAATGTGCTGTGCCAGGCGGCAGCAAAGCAAGTGGATCGAGCTGCTGCAACTCCGCCTGATCCCAGAGATTTCACCAGACGCAATGCCGCTGGATTGCGGTAATGCTCTGATGCACGATTCAATCTCCTCAGGGAAGTAGGCAGTCCGAGGGAGATAATCACAGGCTCCGCATCCGCAAGTAATGCGGAAGCTCGTATTGCAAAATGCTGCGAGGACATGGTGGAAGCTGGACTGAAAGAGGGCTTGGCACTGGAAGCTGCATGCTGTGTCAAGGAGCCGGACTCCCAATGCCATCAAGACAAGCCCCGATGGTGTATGCAGGAAAAATTGAGGTTCAAATGCATCTTTAGCTGCAACTGCATTGTTAGCAGAAGTGGTTTGCAGAGAAACGAAAATACCCATCAACAAACAGAAAGAAATGCAAGCAGACGTACAAACAGACACAGAGACATCACTGAGAAGACTTGACTCGTAATCTAAATTAATCTAAGTTGCAGGCTTACAATGACTCCAACTCGAGTGTGATTTGACAAGAATGCCTTGCATGACACTGGTCCGGGCCATCAGCTGCCTTCTGAGCTTCGGGCCGGAAGCCGGCACACAGCTGCATCACCGCAAAAGCCGCTGCGGACCTGGGTGCAGGGAGGTTCTGATGGACTTGCAGACTGCATAGGCACACAACAGATGTTGCCTTGTACAACCAGTCGTCTAGTGCACAGTTCACCACGGCGGCCACTTCCAATCTGCAGGCCAGACAAATGCTTTGCTGGAAGTTGTCCAAGAAGAAACAAGGCTTCGACGTGTTCTTTCCGAACAGGACATCGGCCCCGTCCGCCTGCATGCAACAAGCTCGCCAGGGGGAAAGCAATGCAGACATTAATCAGTCCTGCGTGCCCACAAGCACGTCCGGGAACCCGGGCAGGGGGCTGGCAGGAAGCAGGCTCAAGACCTGTCAAGATTTTGTGGGTCGCGTGCCGATCTTCAATTCAAAGATGTGCCCTCGATACAGCTCCAGCTCGACGCCTCTGGCGGCTCTGATGACATGCCACATCTATCTTTGCTTTCAGCAGCAAGAATGTGCCATCATGGCAGCGAAATATGTCTCGGTGCTTCGAACTCTTGGCTCTTCACTGGCATTCCCCCACCTCTTCTGATGTATGATGTGAGCTATACCTCATCTGATTGCGACTGCCCGCAAGGAAAAATGCCCAAGCCTTGCAAAAGACACATAGCAGTGCATTGCGATTTAGCTAGCGCTTGGTAGCCATGTGCAAGATGCAACAAAGCCAAAGCAGGTGTACATTCTCGTGGGATAAACATGTCTGCAAGCCCTAGTCGGCAAGCTAAGCATGGCTGCAAGTAGGAAGCCAAGCATCAAAGATTCAGGATTTTGCCCGAAGAGAATCCTAGTGGGCTTCTTTTCATGCTGTTGCGGTGCGACTAGGTCGAGCAACATGCGTGAAACAAAGGCCTCACAGGAGACGCACAGCGCCCCTTGCTCAGCCAGACCGATAGTGATATGACAAAGCTGCCTCAGTGCATGAGAGAAAGCACAGAAGCAACAAGGTGAAGATTCACCCAAAGCTTGGAGTTGCGCACCAGCTCACCGTCGACCGCGAAGACTAGCCTGAGCATGGACCAGCCGGCGAGGTGTCAGCGGGACCAGCACGTGTTCTCCACCAAAGGCCCCGGCTCTTTTCAGCAAGTCTTCGTAGGACCTGCAACCACTTGCCAACATGCGCAAGTCCTACCCTTGGACCTGCAAATATCTGCTGTACCCGTATCTAAAAACCTATGCCTCATGGACCGATAACCAGACCCTGTTTGTTCCACACGTGATAGATGGCTTTTGTGATAAGAGCTATCTTTGATTCTCACGGATATAGGACACCTGGTCTGCTCAGAGATTTATGAAGTCAACACGCCTGGTCCAATGCATGTAATGCCCAAGCAATGCCCAAGTCAAGTCAAGATATCATCTCTCCACGCATGTCCACTAGAAGCACTCAGTCTTCAGCCAAACGAACTTTTCCACTGCCAGAGAGCTTGTCAAATGCTTCGGCGGGGGTCCAAGCCACCCGGGCAATGATTCACACTCTCAGGTAAGGTCGGCCCCGCAACAGCTGGAAGCAAAAGGGCCACTTCTGCGCATGCCTCCGTGGACTGCACATGCTCAGCAAAGGCATCCACGGTTCCTGCGGCAAGACCTGGCCTCACGCCTCACGATATCTGGCGATTACGAATTGCAAACGGATGAGGGTACCTCCCTGGGTAGCAATTCACGAACCGCAGGTCGTGGACCCGCGCCGTCTTTCTGCCCGCTGCCCAAAAGCCACCAAGGCGCCAGCACTCCGAGAAGGCCATGGTGGAAGCCCGGCTCGGAATTCGTGGCTCCGGCTCCCACGCTCTTTCAAAGACCCAGGCCAGGCCAGTAGGGGCAACGCTGCGAGCCTGAAGGCTGTGCCTTTCGCACCCAAGCATGCGCCAGACCCATCTTCAGGAACCAAGCCCGTGCTTCGGTGCACGACACATTGATTCGTCACAGCTTGGGTCGGGATGGAAGCTTGACCCCCTCGTGTGGCCGAGCTTAGGGCTTTGGATGTGTAACATCCGTTCGGGGCTTCTTCAGGCGCAGCCATCCCTTTTGAGAACATAATGCGATGTGCTTGTCCAGCTTCTGGCGCTGCATGGTCCTGCAGAACGCGACCAGCCCCAAGGCTTGACTGCCGTTGGCACGGCGCGCAGCCAACGGCTGAAGATCCACGGCGCCTCTCAGCGGAAGGCCCAACTGCTCCATCATGAGCTGTGGGTCTTGCACAATGCCCGGCATTCATGGAATCCTCCCGTAGCATGGGGAGACTCTTAGTGGACAAGTTTGACAACTGGAGAAGAGCACCATCGCACCAAATCTTACTCCACTCGGAGCTTCCCATCATCAGCCCAAGCTCCGCAGCACACTGCTGGCAATCTGACATATTGCGCTCTTCAGCGGAGTTTGCAGCAAGCTCGGCACCAGGCATCACCGCAAAAGCGAACTACCTTGATGGCCAATTAGCCATCCTCACTGTCATCAAGCAGGGGCAGCAGCATACTCGCGCAAAGCATGGCCAGGTATGCATCTGCCTCCTGCTCGGTCATGGCTTCGAGTGCAGGTTGTCGAGCGGACCCTGTGAACTTGGACCAGTGCTGCAGCAGCTGCATGCTTCACCAAC